AAAATAAGTTTCCTGATGAACAAGTTACATCAGCATCAATGTACGTACATATAGACTTGTGTGTGTAAATGTAATTAGTGTGAATTTATAAATACCTACGTACATACACACATACACACAAAAGCGACAATACATGGTAGAGTAATATTTTTGTTTGTATGATTTGAGGTTTTCACAGGTCATACTGCCTCCGTCATCAGGGCGATGAATGTGCCAATCGGGCCACCCGATGATGGAGGCAGTATGACCTCTGGAACGTTGGTAAACATCCACCAGACTACACAGCGCAACAACCCAGAAGACAGAAATCTTCATACTCATCGCCCTGATGATGGAGGCAGTATGACCTCAGAAACGTTGGTTAACATCTACCAGACTACACAGCGCAACAACCAAGAAGACAGAAATCTTAATTTTTTTGTAATTTGCGTTTCTCCTTTTATAAACTTTACCTGCACATCATTCCAGCTAGGATGTGTAACTCTGGGTTCATATTCCACTGATCAGGTAACAGGTGTAATGACAAACTCTTCTCTGGATTAATGTATTTGAGGAGGATTAGTACACTGAAGATGATACACCAGCAAGCAACACACTTCGCTGGAGAGCACTGGAGTCGGCTACACACGTCGAGTGTTTAACAAGTAGAATTACACTTATTCTCACAGCACGTTTCAAGCACACAAGAGTAAACATAAATCACTGGTCTCAGAGTAAAGGATTGTAAGCCCTGAAAGTATGGGAAACGAGAAAAACTTCTCGGAAAGTTCTTATGCATCATGTTTATTGGTTTTAAAAACATTTATAGAAACGTGATTAGACAAATCATACGCAAACTTTAAGCAGTTGTTCTTTATGGAATTTATATTTTAGTTATGAATTAAACCTTGCCCTACAAATGCTAGGTTTCTCAGATGAATGAAACAATTAACACTTTCAGAATTTGCAACATGCCCTTAAATAAAAAGAAAATCCTGTGTAACTCTGAAAGAGATATACGCAGGCCTGATCTGTCCATGGTTGATATGACCTTTGCCATAACAACCATGTGACTATAGTCTTTGATCATCCGGATCTCTGCCCGCCTCGCACACAAGGGGCGACATTTCCATTTTCCTATTTGTGACAAGATGAAGCGACGATTGGCAAAGATTAACTCAAGGTCTGCACGTGTATTGCTTTTGTCACCGGAGGGGGAGTGGGAGGCCTCGAGGTTATTGTTGATCAGGGGAAATCCCTCCCGCCACTAATGATCTGAAGCAAGGAGAGAAGCAGCAGCATTCAGAAACTACTTTTCTTATATTCCTGTCTGTAAATAAATGTTTCATATTGGCTTGAGAGGCACATTCTTATTAGTCAAATATCAGGCAGTCAACAGGGAGGCAGATACTATGGGCTGTAATACACGTATCTCCTGTCAGCCAGTTCAGATATGATTGCTTTCTTCTTTTCAGTTTCTTATTTTATATTTTCACACATCTTGTTTATGTGTGAGTGTTTTATGTAGCTTCACAGAGGTGGCTTTAGCGTAAGGCGATATTGGCGACCACGTGTGGAAAGGCCTCGCGCAAGACAGGTACAAAAGTGGATTTTTCAGCCTAGCGGTATCATAAACTTGTGCTTAAGCCCGGATTAAGTCAAAAAATCCTTCAATTTAAAACGATAAATCACAAGGAAAAGTTAAGAGCCAGTTAAGATCTAAATATAATTCCTCACATCTGTAACAGCAGTGTACGGATTCCATAGGTGGCGTTGGTCAAAGCAGCTGATGCACGCTTTACCCGAAGAAACATGAGGATCAAAGAGGCAATGGTACTGGTAAATCACACGAGGTTTGGTAGTTAAACAACAATAATTGTTTACATCCGCTATCAGAACTCGAGAATTAAACCTATAGTAATATCTATTGATGTAGCACTTTATAAGCGACACGGGCAAACTGTGATATAAATTACTTGCGGCTAGTGACTACTAATAAAATAATGAGGTTATATCCATCACAAAAATGTCGAAGAGTAGAAGAGAACGTGACAAGGGAAGAAAATCTGAATCACGTTATTTTTCGTCTTTAAATATATCAGCATTTTACCACGTAACTGCCCCTTGCAATCTTTCAAATTCGCCCCCTTTTGTCCTTTTACAAAGTAAATCAGTCTGAAGGTGCAGTAGAGAATAAAAACTACGATGTTGGAAATGGTTTGGCCCTTGTAGAAGATTCTCAAAGCACGTGCGTTCACTGTGAGTATAATTATGCTCTGATAGATACACCTGACCAAGCGTCCAAAAATCAGCAACATTCTGCTATTGACACTGAGATTCAAAATAAAATAAAGCACTAGGGGCAACGTTGGCACGATTCTTGGCGATAATTTAATTTTTGTGCATAGTATAACATTTCATTTAGAGTACATACAGACAGTTTAGAACAGGAAATAATTTACATTTTATAGACCTGGTTTAATTTACTGCAAAAAGTTCATCCAGTTCTTCAAAAACACCTGAAACTTATGGAAGATAATCAATACTGAGGAAAAAACATTAATGCCTTAATAACTTTGATAGCCAAACTTGCTAAAATTGCAAGTATTATAAGGTACAGCAAGTAATGTATTATTCATTAATTCTGAAATGTACTAGAAATGTAAATCACACCGAAAAAATACTGTGATCTTGCATTAGGTTGATGAAAATTCGGCAGACAATGAAGAATATTTTGTCGTGTTTAAACTGGTAGAAAAAGTACGGATGAAGAATTAAGAGCGTACTTTTAGAAATTCAAAACCTACGACTGGACTGTCGCGGATAAGGATGCAATAATGGAGGTAACATGCAGGGAGAAGAAATCAGTGTAAAAACAAGAATTTTATATATTAATGCGTTGGACTTCTTTACACATTGCGGATGTCACAGATGAAATTTAGTGCTCGGTGATGTAACAGCATCTTATAAAATGCCTACTTCTTTCTCTTTCGTCCGATAGGTAGAAAGTGCTAGAAGAAAAAGCAAATATTTCTGTGAAGCCTTTGACCGAAACCAGATGGAAAAGCAGAGTGGAGAGCGTAAAAGCCGTCCGATAACTATTTACGTAATATACTGCAGACTGCCTAGGAAAACTAAGAAATAAGCAGCCATCCTAAATTTGTATTGAATGCAGTTCGAAACAGGAAGACATTTTATCTGTGGTACAAAATTTTAGTGAAAATAAATCTAATATGCAGTTGGACATGGCATTGAAATGTCTTGAAGAATTTCTATGCTGGCCAGGTGAGAATCGATTAAACGGATTTGACTCTGCTCTAGTAACTGCCATAAAATATCTGATGAAATAAATATTCCGAAGTAATTTAGAAAAATTAGGCTACGTAAGAAGAAAGTTGTTGCTAATTCTACAGACATTTTCAAATATCATCGTTGACGTGATTTGTGCAAGTGCTGGGCCTTGATTTAGAAACCTGCTCCACTATTTTTGTTTTCTGCACAATATTTCATCTTTAATAAAATAACATATCCGACGGAGAAATTTTACAGTGTTGCAAAGAACTACATTCGGTGTCTGAGTAGTCCCACTGCAATATAAATGGCGAATAATTCTTTGAGGAACTAAGAATGCATACTAGGAATGTACCTCCAAATACAGAAATTTATGGTTCATAAAAATGTGTTACAAATAAAAATTTCATTGAAATTTATTCTAATGTTTACGGAACATATATGATTATATTAACAATTCCGGTTACAGTTATATTAGCGGAAAATTCTTTTTCAGAACAGAAATTAATAAAACTTACTTATGATCTACTGTGTGTCGAGTGAGGTTATCGTAATTTACCATTCTGTCCATTGAACGTAACTTGACTTCAAAATAAGATTATTGCTTTCTTATAGATGAGTTCAGCACTACCAAATGAAGAAAAATAAAATAAAATTATAATTGCATCCATCAAATAAATTGTAGTGATCCTATCCTGATGTAATATTTCATTTATTAATATCTGAGATTTTCTTCTTACCTCAAGAGGCCTAACGTGTTACTTTCTCCTAGAGCCTCGCTAACTCTACAGATGCCTCTTTTGCTTCTGAAGCGCATTTAATTGTGAAAACAGTGTGCATTTTTCAAATCGCAGTCACACGTTTTTAGCTCCAGATGCCAGAAATAGTCTACATTGTGATATTGCTTTCTATAGCATGTAATACGGTAATTCAATAATTTTGGCGTGTGATATTTTTAAACTGAGATATTTAATATGTTTATATATTTTTTTTAAATTGCTTCCACTGATTTTGCAAATGAATACAATGCATCTAAAATTGGCCCATAGTTGTATAAAGAGCTGTATATTTCAAATCTACAGTTTTGTTCTGACTTTTAAGAAATTGAGACAAAGAGTAACCAAAATATATGTAAAATGTATGATCTTGTCTGAAAGGTAACATATCATATTTATATTATCGGATCAGTCAATTACTGGTTGAGATTAAAACAATCGCTGAATATTCCTATAACCAAATCAAACTTGACACGCCGTGAGCAAAGCACTGGTACAACTTTGGTAAATTCGCCATTTTCCTTTCTGATTACTCAAACGAAATGGCATTATTAATTTCGGATAAGTTTCCAGAACACACTAAGGACAGGCATGTAAGACGGAATATGGCATTGATCTATTCATGAATTTTGTTAATGTAACACTATTCAATCATAAAAACACGCACATAAGCGAGAGATATACTGTTGTCGAAATTACAACTTTACACCTTCTTGCTTGAAACAAGCGGAATCTCTAAAAACACATGACTGCAAATTATTATCACGGAATCCGCATAAAAATGTTCAATCAGATAAGGATGTTTAATGAAGTTTACTGCACTCTCATAATATATGACAATATTGTTCTTGTGTATAATTATTATTGCCATGCTCATTAATTTCCAAATAGGAAATTGTGTATTTAGTGGTAGGCGGAGACACAGAAATAATCTCTCATGACGCTGGAACTTACCCAAATGTCCACCAAATGTCGAAACACATGATGTTGAGCCAAGAGAATGCAGCCAGGAATGTGAACAGGATACAGTACCCTAGAACAAGATATCAAGCACTTTGTGAAACGTGTGCTATGGAACACAGTCTCTTCGGTTTCAAAACGGTCTCTAGGAGTTACTGACACTTTACATTCATGCATCGCCTAAATAATTAAAAATTATTAATATACTAATTTAAAGAGCTCGTTGAACCTAAATGGGAATTACTTTCCTTCATATGTTCATTTCTCAATATCTTCCTTCCTTTTCTTTGTCCCTTTCGTGTCTCTATCAACTTCCCTCCTTTCTAAATAATTTCTTTCTCATCCGTTCATTTGTCTGTGCAGAGAACTATGATACATAAATTGAAATCGCGCAGTGCCCAGTGTGAAAACATGCAATCTAACACGCAGACATTAAAGTGGATTTAATTTACTATAAATTACAGGAAGAGAAAAATGAAAATATAAATCGAAGACATAGGTCCCATTACCCTCGAATAACTGAATCAAGCTCATAATACAACTAAAACTAGAAAAGCCCCAGGACTAGATGGGATAAATGTATAAATTATAAAATATTCGGAATGGTTTATGAAATTGAGATTAGTTTATTTGCTAAATAAACGCTGGCAATATTGTAAAATCGCAAAACTGGATTTCAAATTTGCTGAAACAAATAAAACAGAACATAAATTTCAAAATAATAAAGCAGTGATAACTTGGGCGCAGTGGTTAGTGTCAAGAAAGGAATATTTCAGGAAAAAATGTATTCCGTAAATTAATACAGGCATACATCGTTTTATTGAGCTTCGATTTATTGCGCTTCGCAGATATTGCGGTTTTTAAAAATTGAAGGTTTGTGGCAACCCTGCATCGAGCAAGTCTATCGGCGCCATTTTTCCAACATCATGTGATCACTTCGTGTCTCTATGTCACATTTTGGTAATTCTCGCTATGTTCGTGCATTGCTTTTTTAGACATAATGCTATCGCACACTTGATAGACTACAGTATAATGTAAACATAACTTTTATATGCACTGGGAAACCAAAAGATTCGTGTGAAATTATTGCGGTGGGCTGGAACCGAACCCGCAATATATCCGAGGTATGTCTGTATTGTAATTTAATTCAGACAAATAATTTCATAAAATGGTACGTTTGTCTAAAACAAATTCTATGTAGGTTTTAGCTAATACCTTGCATTTACACTTTGCCCAATGCCAGTAGGAACGGTAGAATATTACAGGGTTCTGTTCATTAATTATTTATTCTTTGAATGTACCAGCTAAACTCTGAAGTCTGTATAATATTTGATTGCAGGAATAAAACAAAATGTGGTTTCCTTAGACCTTTAGCACATCAATTGCTGCTATTTAAAAACAAGAAACTTTAACCCTTCCAGTACGCTCTCCCTTCCCCTACAAACATTTCTATGGGAAGTGACTTGCACATTTGTCATACTTATATTAATGAAGTACGAATTTAATGTCTCGTAATCAAATGACCGCCAGTGGTAGTTACCAAGAGAGCAACCCTGGTTTTGGCGCTACGATGCAAATAGTTTACAGGAAGCAATGAATGCGTTATCAATAAAGCGTCCTTCATAAATAAATACGGTTTCTTGCTCTATGTCTTTTCAGTGTTTATTGTCTTATACAGATTTATTGTGCTGTCTTTCCTAAACACGCTATTACAGGTTTCTGGGCCGATCACAGTAACAGCAATCTATTGGTGAAAGCTGAAAATGGCATATTACCTTTCGCTAGGAGGAAAGTAAGCTTACAATATCACAATTATGTCTGTCTGTGTGTGTGTGTGTGTGTGTGTGTGTGTGTGTGTGTGTGTGTGTGTGTGTCATCTCTTTCAACTTTTGAACCAGCTGCTTGGTTTTGGAGAAATTATTCCATCCGAGACTATTCTAGCTTTGTTATATTGTACAACGGCGTTATTCCGAGTGTCAGAAGACAGCTTCGTCAAGCGCTCGTGAATGGAAACAACATTTATATTATCTTCGAATCTTGGGAGGCATGATCATACCCCGCTATATGTGATTCCGCGTTACAACGAGGGTCTCTTGTAGTTATGCTTTATCAACCAAATGTCTAGAAGTCGGCTGCGTTCCGTCATCAGGGCGATCACCCTGATGATGGAGGTAGCAAGGACCTCTGAAACGTCAGTAAACTTCTACCATATTACACGGCGCAACAACCTAGTAGGCAGCCATCTTCAGACTCACCATAGTGAAAACCTAAAATCCTACAAGTGAAAACATTAGAAGGAGTCACATTTAATTTTTCCTTCTGCTCGAAATACAAAACTGTTTGGTCCATATTAAATTGAATTGCCCGGTTTGCTAAGTACCGAGTTCCTCCCGTCATTGTGTCAAAAGATTACGAACATATTCCCTTAATGTAAATTTATATTTACCAATAAATCGCACAGAATTATGGTCTTTTGGCTAAGCGGAGGAGTAGGACGTTCCTTACATTGCATAATTTCATTCGATTCCGAGCTGAGCCGTCAGTTTATTTTTTTTCAAACTGAAAGCAAATTTAGTGTGGAGCAACGCTATCTAATAACTAAAAAGTATTTTTGGACGTCTAAGAATTTATTAAATATTTCCTTCGATGTTTTAGGCCTGACTTTGACACGCCTGCGTATTTACTTTCTTACTCCATGTAGCCGAGTCCTTCCTGAGAAGCCAACAGGCGCTCAGTTACTGAAGAAATTTCCAAAATTTTATGGGACCGAAAGGTTTATTACCGTGTTTACAAGTGCCCGCCAGTGGTCCCTATCCTGAACCAGATGAATCTAGTCCATACCACCCCATCCAATTTCTCTAAGATCCATTTTAATATTATTCTCTGACCTAGATCTAGGTCATTCTAGCAGTCTGTTTCCTTCTTGTTTGCTTACCGAAACCCTTATGAATTCCTCTTCTTTGCCATGCAAGCTACATGCCCTGCCTATCTCATCCTCCTTGACTTGATCAGTCTACTTAGCTAGGAGTACAACTTATGTAGCTCCTCATTATGCAGCACCACCAGCCTCTTCGTTTCCCTCTTAGGCTCAAATATCCTCCTCACCGTGCCCCTTTTCAAAATTAAGCTGTGTAATTAAAATTTAGCACATTAGTTGCATTCGTGAATACATTTTGAAGGGTTATGTGGACATAACATGCAAGTTGATGGCAGCCACGCACCTTGAAAAAGTTATTTTACGAAGGCAACACCCTAGGGCATATTGCACAATTACAACTCTGAACATCTGTTAAGTATATCCGTGTCATATGTCCGATTGGTTTGCACGGCTTGTGTACTGTTCACTTAGCAGCAAGTAAAGTGTAATCTTTTTTTCTAAAACCTGGCGACATTTGTAGAATCAGTATTAATGGAAACAGAGAACCTAATAAATCACGGGATTAAAGAATGTAAATAGAATAAAAGTGTTGTGGGAAACTAGTTGTTTAGGTCACATGACAAAAGTAACAGCCATACTTTTCTTACTACTACTCATGGAATAACCTGTTACAAGCACTTAGCTACTGTGGTACATATTAATTATTCAGAGAGACAGAAACGAGTTCGTTACTTGATATGTTGATTGGGTCGGTAAAAACTGCTTCTTGCCCAGAGGTTAATTATCCTCGTCAGTTAAGTGTCTAGTTAATTAAATAATCAGTCAGCCCAACCTGTTTTATTTATTAAAGAAAATGGGCAAGTAATCGTCCCTTTTGAGTTCTAGTTTATGTGGCATTTACACGAGTCCATGTTTTTTTAAGTTCTTATCTGAACTGTAGAAGTGTGAGTAAATTACCTCAACCATATGAATATATTTCTTTTGAAATAAGTGAATAACATACAGTCATTCCCACGCGCACCTCTCCTTATTTTCGGAGTTTAATACACCAAATAAAATGTTACATATCTAATCTCTGTAGCATAAACAGTTTGCATGCCAGAGACTTGTTAGCCACACTATCAGTGTTGTGGGAGTCTAACAATTGCCTGCAGTCCCAGCTGGTAGCATTTGCCTGTGGATGACTTCCATCTGACCTAGGTCAACACAAGAGCCTTCCAACTTCCTAAATAAGACGTTCCGCGCAAAAGATAATTTTCAGTCCACTCTCACTCGCATTGCTCTGATGCGATCGGCGACGTTAATACGCCTGTTACTAACGTACCAAGGTGAGATAGTCTCAATGCGGAGACACTTGGATTGTAACACCTACAGTTTCTGTTAAGTGCCTGCGAGCAGCGGGCCTCCAGATAGGACATGCGTATTCCATCACAGGACGGATTAGCTGCTTGCTTTGGAGTGACATGGTTCGCCGATGGTTGTGCATCCCTACAAACCACTCACAGGCTGATAGCATCAGTTTCGCTGAGCTGGCAGATACTGCATTGTGGAGGCCCCTTTGAGGTGTTGTATGTCTCCACCTTTCATCGCAGATTGCAGATAGACGATTTGATTATCAGCAAAAAAATGGAGTAGCTCCTTATTTGATGTAAGAAATAAAAGAGATGTGGATGTAGGAAGTGACTATCACCTAGTGACAGGAGAAATTGGTTGGGAAGCCTGAGGGGGAGAGACCGCTGGAGAGACGTAGATGGGAGGATAATCTCAGGCGGGATCTATGGGAGATAGGAGCTGAAGGAGACTGCATTTTGTTGGCCCAGGACAGGGTCCGTTGGAGGTATTTGGTTAATTCGGTAGGCCATCTAGTTAGTTAGTTAGTTAGTAACGACTAAGTTAAAACGGAGTGGAAGACGTATATTTGATACACGGAAATTCAATGACCGTAAAATTGCAGAGTCCTTCAAAATAGAGTTACGAAATTGTTTCCAAGTTTTGAGGGAAGTTGGCTTCTAAGAAGAAGAGCCAGCTGGTATTAATTAACACGAAATATAATAAGATTAGAGAGGTGCTAAATGAAAGATATAAAACATCTTAGAGTATAAAGAAAATAAAGGAAAGAACTGGATAAGAGACATAAAGTAGAATAATATATTGGTTAGATGGAACCTAAAGGCAAATTCAAATAAAGGGAAAAC